AAAAGTTCCTATTTTATTGAATGCAATTTATTTATGCCTTCTGGATTATGCATTTAATTTCTGCGGATTGACCCCAGTCCGCATTTACCATTGATCCCAAGTAAGTGTACCTTTCCACTCGTTCTATATTTTTGTGATTTAAAATCGAAATCATATGGGGCTGGGCGATTTTCCTGATGGTTATATGCTTTGTCTTAGAGGGTTGAAGTCCATATTCCTCACTCGTTCTATTACTTTTCTCAAGAAGAGTTTGAAGATCCGCTAAGCTACTTGCGAGGATAACAGTATCATCTGCGCATATGATGTTATTTATGTTCTTGTCGTTCATTTTAATCCCTTCAAGAGAGTCTTCCAGTGCCTCTCAAAACACATTTTCAGAGTAAATGTTACATAAGGTCGGCGATACGACGCACCCCTGACGTACGCCTCTTTGGATCGTCACATCCTCTGTTTTGTTGCCGGCTATGTTCACGTGTGCTGATTGGTTCCAATATAATCGCTATAATTCGTATATATTTGTTGTCAAAGCCTACTTCCCTCATTATTTCCACCAACCTTGTATGTTTTGCTCTGTCAAAAGCCTTTGAAAAATCTATAAAACATGCATACACATGTCGGTTCATGTCCCTACAGTGTTGCACTAGAACTTGTAATGAAAGTATTGCCTCTGATGTTCCCACATCACTTCTAAAGCCAAATTCATATTCGCTGGTGTATAAGTAACATTTTCTATATATTCTGCTGTGAATACTTTTTCTGTAGGTATTTTCTGCTGTAATCTTCTGTGAAAAGATCTTGGTGAACACCTTGACGATGTGGTTAATGAGACTAATGAGTCTGTATTGGTCGCGGGCATCGGCTCGATGCTTTTTAGGGAAGGTAATGAAAGAAGACACTAACCAGTCAGGAGGTATTTTTCCTGAAGATTCCTTCCGGATATTTGAGGACATCCGTATTACTGTCGTATAATATTTTTATCAGCTCTACGCAAACTTCATCAGGTCCAGGCGATGTATTGTTTTGCATTTTGTGGATAGCTCTCTCAATTTATCTTTAGATGGGCATGGGCATGGTTCAGATTCGTCAATATAGTAATGTTCTGGTCTATCATCTGAGAATGCTGTTTGAATATATTGTTTCCACGTCTTTAGTTTATCTGTCATTTCTGTGATAAGTTAACCATCTGGGTCTACCAGAGCTCCTTGGGTGGTTTTCTTCCTTGTATTTGTTATTTCCTTTATCTTTCTGTGTGTATTTAAATTATCATGCATTCTGTCTGGTTGCTCAATCTCGTTACATTTCTCTGCTAGCCATTCCTCTTTTGCAGCTTTAATTTCCTTCCTTATTGTCGTGTGTACTGAACGATATATTCCATACTTTTATTCTCGTCTGTCAGCCCGAAAACATCGAAAAAACCTGTCGACACGATACATTTTAATCTTATAATATATGTATTATTCTAATATTACAAAGTAGTCAATATGGTCAAGACAAATTTAATTCAAATTGTAATAAGTGCACAAAGCCAACATTGTTTCTTCCGTTTATTGCACTTACGTAATAAATAATATTGATTTTTTAATGGCATTCATGTATGTAATCGGTTAAGGCAAGGTTGAGGCCGTTTCGTTACGGAATATCTTAAAAGAGGAAAAATATCCATCAGGCGGACAGCCAGCCATACCAACTTCAAGGCGCGTTGTTTGGGCGCACTTACCATATCGAGAGAGGATGTTTAATAAATGTCTGCCAATTCAGTCATGTTCAAATCCATTTGTTGACTTATTGACAAATTATCGAAATAAAATATTGTTTTTCCAACGCCAGCAGGAACCATTCGTTAAAAATAATATTCACTATTCTGTTTGTTATAACTGCGAGCATGGAAATTTCGTAATATTGAGATTCATTTTCTAGCCAGATCACTAATAAAAATACTTTGGATTGTGCACGGAACGTGCACGTGTTGATGGGCATTTTTGTACTTGAAACAATCCCGTTATGGTCGATCAAAGATACATACTTCCTTATTGTCCTAATGTGACAATTTTTTTTGCACTGCCAATGCCTATTCTATTTAAGGATTAATTGTTCTTGACTTTTCTTTGTTCATATCACTTCTTTTGTGATTTTAGAAGAATAGTTAGCACTGCAGTTGTCGCCTTGCAACATATCTCTCGTCAAGATGTAGTGTAGTATATTGGAATTTCTTCAAGTGCAGATGTTTGACATACTTTTTCCTTCAGACACAACAATAGAATCAATGGAAATAGTTGAGAAGCATATACACAGATGTTGATATTAATCCACATACACAGTCATTATTGTTTGTGTAAACTTGGTTTTTTATTATAATTGTGTTGTCATTTTTGTCGAGATTGCAAAAGTATACAGTGTGACCAAGATAGGGATGCATTGCATGGGGATCTAGGAAACGGGAGAGATACTAGAGGGGGAATTGGTTCATTGGTTTATGAAGTTATTTCAAATCATATCAAAAAGCAAAAAATTCTTTCTCATGGCACCTTTTCGAGTTCTATAAGATAGTGTCGATGAATACATTTCAACGTTTTGTTTCTTAAAAACCCTCATCAACTTTTGTTTTTCACATGTTCGAGAAAAAAGTACCTACATAACGTATTACGAGTTTCAGCAAAATAATATGAAGTTGATGAATTAGATATAGATGGATTTGGATACTATCCGTTGACGGAGGAAATGCAGAAAACTGACTTCGCGGTAGATGAATTGAAAGCGGTATTCCATGCTGATACTGCAAACGCCTAGTTTGGCTTTGATAAGTAAAATATCTATCTGAATAGTGTCCGTAATTTAGCTGCCAGTACCTCTCCAAAGGCGTCGTATTCATCTTGTTTATTTATTATTTGTTGAAGAGAGTTAAGTACTGCAAAGGCTTCTTCTGATCTTTTATTTGAATATGTACACGTGTCGATCGCTTTTTTATAGCTGCATTTTCCTGTGAAATCGATGCTGATCCTTAAATTAGATAAATAATAGATACTTTTCACAAAAAAGTTAATTTTACTTACCTACAGTGCTGCACCAGAGAACCCTTCTCTCACATTCCGTTCTTCGATTTCGATTTCATTTGAAGGAGCATCAGTGCATCATGCAGCATTGCATCATGCAGCATGCATCATCAAATAAGTGCCTATTTTATTTCACTTTATTATCTCTACTTACCTTTTAATTTATAATGCCTGATTCGATTGTTTCCCGTGACTTATTTTTGTCTTTGAGAAACGTTACCAATTTAAAAGATTTCTCGAGAGATAAAAATTTTTTTCTTCCCTTTGAACCTGGCCTATTAAACAACGCACCTTTTTTCAACTTCGGTTTTTCCATATTCATGACTTCCAAAATATTTTTTTAAATTTAAACAATAGACTACGGGTGTCCCATAATTCTACACGTTATCTGTATAATTCTATTAGTTTCGAAATATTTTCTTTATTCCACTGATCGTTTTCTAACTGCATTTTGGACAGAAAATAAGAAAAACTACACGACCCCCACCGATGTTTACTACTAGCGAGTTCAAAATTCCAGACGCCCCCTGGTGGCTAAAATTATAAGTACAAGTTAAGTAGTAATTTTGCACTTGTTTTGTTGACATTGGTGTCACATTGGTGTTTACATCTGATTGTGATTTGTTTTGTTTTTTTCTAATCAACTATTGCAAGCTTTTAAAGAAATAGAAACAGATCGAAAAGTGTGTAAGTATTGTTTTATGTTATAAATATCATCAACTCCAATAAATAAACAAGTCTGACAAGTCTCAACTGTCACTCGACAGCGAGTAATTTGACGTTTAGCAGCGCCACCATCGTTAGTTGAACGCGCGAATGTTGAACGATTTTCTTTGATCTTTACCGACAAAAGATCGATTGCATTTAGCAAGTTATACAGCAGGAATATTTGCTATATTTCATTATAAAATCTCTAACATGCTATATAAATATAACTTGACTATAAAGCAGCGTTATATAGCAAGTGTGTACCCTGCTTTAGGCATCTTGCAAGAGCAAATTCAACGACGTATAACACAGTACGGGTTGTACCGGTTCTTCCGTCAAGAAAATGTTTTTTTTTTATCTATTATGCCTATTGTACATGTACAACCAATATCCTGTTTCAATTTAAGGAGTACATGTGATTTACAATACTTACTAAAACGAGAATAAAATCTTTCAATGAAACAAAAGTTATAAAAAGTAGCAATTTAAATAAAATAAATCTACTAAAACCAGCAAAAAAACCAAACAAGTTTATAATAATTGTTCAAAAAGGTAGCCATTATTGTCTACACACAGATACGTTCTTCTAACTGTTGAATCTACAAATCAGGATAGTAGATCTGGAGTTATAGAATTAAATGTATCGGTAACTGCCCTCAAAAGTTGGCATTCAGTGTCAAAATGTTGAACGTAAACTTGGTTTTTAACGTAAATCCAAAAGAAGAAATCGGGCGATCGTGCTGGCCAGGAAACGTCCCCGTAAGTTCTTCTGCATTATCAGGCCATGCTTTTGGCATATTGAAAAAATTATAAATGCAACTGTAATCACTGACGCCGTTTTATTTAAATGAAACTGACATCAAGATTTATCTCTTTATTGAAATTGTAAATAGATCATATGTTTAAAACCACGCTGAATTTGTACACACACATGGGGGATGAAACTATAAGAAAAACGTTCGCATTAAATCTGAAATTGGCAGCACAGATGCCCATTATTTCTATCATATCTATTAAAACCAATAGTGGATAAGTGGAGAATGGAGTGAGTTTAAATTCTTAAATAGAAACTTAACTTTTTGAATGTAGATTAGGCACTCTACATTAACTACTTTAAAATGAACCCATTTGAATGTTTGTTATAGTTCAACCTAATAAAATCGGCGGTGGCAGGCAGCAATTCATAACAGTTCACTGTTTTTAGGAGATGTCCAATATTAATGATGTTTTTCTTATTTCCAGGCTTATGAACTGTCGACCCTAACTGGTACACAAGTGATGCTGCTTGTTGCCTCTGAAACGGGTCACGTGTACACTTTTGCTACGAGGAAGTTACAACCTATGATCACGTCGGAGGCCGGAAAGGCTCTCATCCAAACGTGCCTTAACTCTCCCGATCCACCAGCTGGATCTGTAGGCGACCAACGCATGTCCGCCACTGGTTTCGAGGAAACTGAACTGACATACAACATATCCGACGAGGATTCTAAAGTAAGACAAATGGTGTATGGTTCCCCGCATACGCACTCACATGCTCACTCGTTAGCTAGTCAGGGACACTATTCCCACTTAGAACAGAGCCATTTATCTTTAGGGGGCTCGCCGCAACATGGGGGTTATTCGCAAGCGTGTCCCAGCCCTCTGCCCCCACCACATCAAGGTTACGGTCACCCTCAGCATCCCCACTCGCATATGCACTCGCACTCACAGCGATGAATTTTCTTTCATTTGGCTGTATATAGGCGGTGCTTTTAGGTAGTTAAATACGATATGATGGATGAAATGTAGATAAACAATTTACTGAAGCGATGATCAAAGTGGTTACTGGAATCAATAAATGTGGCAAATTTAAATGCGATTCGGACGCACCCCAGGAGGTAGTCTAATCGTAATTTTTAACATACTTGGCAGAGTTCTTGTTAATGGTTTGCTATTAACTGAAAATATCATCACACATCAATACATGTGGGTGTCGTTAGCCATCATAGAATATATATATCTGCGGCATTTTAATAAGCAATTACTGTTTGTTTTCAGTTTGTGTTAGGTCAAACTGTTCATTTGGAATATTTTCACATATCAACCCACAGAAAAGTTCGTAATACATTCAAACTGTAAACTCGAAATTATTTTTTGGTCTATCCTGAGATAGTCTCGAATAAGATAGAGAAGAAGAGCCAGCTTTTCTACAGTAAGGCTGCTCAGCTTAAGTTTTAGTTATAGTTCCAATTATTTTTTGATTAGCTTGCACTAAGTTATGCTAAATATTAAGTTGAAAAATTCCTTCATCATGCTTGATAAAACAGACATAAGTTTGTCGCTTAATTTATATAAGCTTTCTTGAATCAAAAGTAACTTTAACTAAAGAGTTTTTTTTTATCTTTACCTCAGCAAGACACGTCAGAAATACCTTTTTGATTTCTCCTGAAGTACAATATTTCAGTAAGATAGGTTTTCATCTATTATGATAATACATTAAAAGTGTTGATCCTAAATTTTATATTTACTTTTAATGTATACATTTTAATTACGAGTTCTCAAGTTTAGGTTATCTTTGAACACGCAGTTACGAGCGACAACACTACAAAGTGCAACTAAGTCATGCTTATTATTTTTTCGCAATAACAGTTGATTAAATTAAAGCAACCGGATAATTAAAATCCTAGATAATTAATAAGCAAAAGTCAAAAATGTTAATCATGCGGGAAGAGAATATCAAGAATGTTTAATGTTTGTCGAAAGTACCTACTGCCGTTAATTCTATATGCTATTAGAATATGTTGTTTGAATTTGATGATACTTCTTTTAAAGCTCAACTAGAGAGATTGATGACGTAAATTTTTTAATAACTTTCGATTTGAAATGGTATTGGAAAATTATTTGCAAACTACAAAAATTATTTTTTCATAGTCAATTATTTACAGTACAATCCCTACAATTTTGAAAGTCAAATGTACGATTTTAATTAATTTTCCGTAATTAGAAATTGAGTGAAACAAAGCTTTGTATACTTTTGGTGTTCTTATTTGCAAAATAACGAGAAGCCAAATATTGTTTTCCATTTGACAGGCAATTTCTTTCCAAGACTTTATGACTTTTGCAATTTCTTTTGAAGACACTTTCCAAAAAGTTTAAATTCACAAATCTATAAGAACAAAACACTTATTTTTCCGATAAATTTACCCAATTTAATCTCACTCATAATACCCATCTTAATGGCTCCTTTCATTTAATACGCAAGATACATTTATTATATTTTTTTAAATAAAATCGGATTATTCCTGTTACAGTCATATGCAGAGTGCAAACGAAGTTCATCAGAAAATTTGTTGTTCATTTTGGTTTTTGCTGACTCTGACTCTCTCTGATTAATTATTTAATTAACGTTGACTAATATATGCGCCGGGATAGTTTTATAGTGTCGTTTTTACATCGCAGAACGAGTTATTTACAGAGCAATTTTCCCACGCAATATTAAATGTTATTTATTCTATTACTGGTAGCCAATCGGTTTAAATTGAGTACTCTTCATCTGAACCGCATTAGATAGTAACGGTCTCGATCACTTATCTGCCGCATATTAGAGAAATTCATATTTGAACTACATATTAACAGTCCGACGAAAGGACTTCATTACGATGAAACAACTTGTGGGGGCAAAAACCGTTGTTTAATTATTGTAGGTTAAAGCTGAGCGGAAGCGGTTAAATCTAAGCTTCCTCTTAAACAAACCACTGCTATTTGCAAACTTAATATTAGGTCCAAATGGCGGATTTCACACTGTTATTTTTAAACAGGAGAAGCAAATCGTTTGTGAATTATGTTTTACTCAGCCCTTGACATCTTTTAGGTAAGCCCCTGATAATTATCAGGGACAAAAAATACAATTTTACAGTCACAAGTGATAGTCATCAGTATATTTATCTTATTATGGTACTTAGTATAATTCAAGTTATTTTGTAGTTTTCTTTCTTTTCATCGTTTGAATCGAAGTTCCTCGGCGAATCAACCAACAAAAATCAGCAAGTATTGCTTCTGACCATTTTCCATTGTAGCGTCTTTCAATATGCATAATATCCTGATGAAACCTTTCACCATGCTCATCTGATATGACACCGCGATTTTCCGGAAAGAAACATAAATGACAAAATTCCAAAATATGTCCAAAATATGTCCATCCTCTCGAAGTTCTTTCAACATCTGCAACATCTGTTACAGCACATTTTTGGTAACCAACTTTTATCCCTCTCATCAATAGAAAATCCAAAATAAAAGTGATAAGCGTTTTTAACAAGATATTATTTTTGAACAAATTTGAATTTCTATTTTGTATTTATTATCTCTGTTCATAAAAAATGATAAACTACATATAAAATACTTAAAAATATATATTTAATATACATTTTGTGTATAACTTACTAAAGTATTTGATATAGAACGTAAACAATTAAATGACAAGTTTTCAACTAACTGTTGTAAAGTCACAGTGAATAATACGCAGGCGCATTTACCATCATTGAAATAATTTTCGGCACTTTCCTTCTTTTTCTTACAACTATCAAAAATCCAATGTATGATGTAACAATGTATATACATTGTTTATATTGTTAACGCATGAAACGTATTAAAAAACCGAAATTTATTATATTTCGGGAAAAAATTCGTAGCGAAAAATTTATACGTGATAAAAGAAATTTCACCATCGGGAACAGATCTGTATGATATAATTTTTTGAAGGAAGATTTTGTTGCAGACCAGGGTAATGTGTAATTTATAAAGCAATGTTGCCCTTAAGAGGCTTGTTATGAAATGATCATGTTAGTACTTAGAAACTAATCGGTCGTCCAAAATCTAGCCAAACCTAAAAGAACCACAGACTCCACAGGCAAACAGCACTGGCGTGGTACATTCGTTTATCGACAGCTCGGTTTTTGTTCACATGTGAACATGAATCCATCGAAGCCGATATAACCAGCAAACAAACGACGATTTGTAGATACAAGAATCAGATAGACGAAGGCATTGAGGCGTGAACAAGGACTAGATAAATCGTACTGATAGATTCGATTGCGTAAAACCGAAATTAATCAAATTAGTGACTGTTAGTCGGGGCTAATGTGATACATATTATTTCGAATGATCACCAATAAAGGATATGACTTACTAACCCCGGATTAAACCGTATTAATTGACAATGGCAATGATAAAATAGCGTACTATGTAAAGCCAGTTAAACTCGTGTAGGTATCTTGTAGTTTTCTATTGCATCGTTGAAACTAGAGTCTTTTGAGAATTATGAAACCTCAATTTACTGAATAATTGCTCCAAGGATAGAACATCAATCAGTGTAGGTTACAAGAAATCATGGTCTATTTTTTTTCAATTTCTTTTTTGTGTTACCCACATGTTATACAGGGTGTCCTTGAAATAACTGTACAACGCTTAACCGACAATTAGACGATCTAAGGAAACTTACCTATATCCAATGTTGCTTTAGTTCTCAAATTAAAATCGTTTTTTTTTTCAAATTATTTCTTAACGCCGAACTCAAATTTCACTAATTTTGGAATCAGCAATTACTACATAAGATCTCGTTTTGTGACGTAAGCTTGATCTTTGTTTAATGCTTGAAAATTTTAAAAGTTGTTGTTTTTGTTACCCCCTGCACAAATAATAAAATACATTTTCTGCTACTACCTACTTTTCTGTTGAAACTTTTTTGCCTCTTGGAAAATTTCGCCAGCCACACATTTCCTGTATAAAAAAAGAATTGCAATATGTACCTTGCACACCATCATTCTTGTGAAAAAATATATACATTCGATTTTGTGTCCGCAAATGTTTTGTATCGTTGCTTGCCAAAAACAATACTTGTCTTAACCTAAACAAATTATTTGGTACATTTGACAAAACGATAGTTTTTCCTGTTTTTGGTGTTGAGCGAAGTTGCATAATAGACGGATGATGCGCCCATAAATTGATCGCCAAAGTCATCCGATTTAATGCCGCTAGATTTTTTCTGTGGGGCTCTCTTTAGTCAAAAAACCGAGGTAATGAAAATAAATTTCAAAGCTGCAGACTATTTAGGAAAACCAGCCCGGCACGATGCCCAAAGTACAGTTAATTTTTTTAAAAAGAAATAATTTATGTGTTTGGGGAAACAGTCAACCTTTTTGAACTTTTGTTAAATTAATTAAATTCGTTCAATTATTCAGAATTAATAATTTTCCATGTTTTTTTTCGCTATAAATAATTAAGAATCTGAATTGCAACATATCGTAAATAATTATTTACACAGAAACGTAGCCTGACAAAAAGTTTCAGAATAAAATAGCGAGAAGAAGAAAATAAACAACTATTTGTACAGGGGATAACAAAAATACAAACATTTATTAACGAACCAAGCGTCATTTTTAATATTTGTTATCACCACGTGTTTTGTACCAAATGATGATTCCAAGCTTAGAGAAAATCGACATAGGCGTTAAATT